AGATCGATTTGATATTTGGTACACACTCTTAACCTTGACGGCCATACAATATAATCTAATGTTCAATGTCAGAGTCAAAGTCAAAATAATTTATTTCAATTAGACCAGAAAGGCACTTTGAACGTCAACAATAAAATTAAAAGTGAAGCTATTTACTCATTCCAAGGTGTAGATTCCTATGGAGAAGAACGAGCAAGAAACTCCATAGGTTACTCTTTTTCAATCAGGTTCACAATACAATTCTCTAGTTACAAAGTTTAGTTACACATGACCGTGCAGGCTTAAGGTTATATGTTTCTCAAAGTATCATGATATCACCGTTACTCTTCCCGTGGGTATCCCATACCCGACTAAGGAATTACACATTAGACAGAGACCGTGTAGCAGCGCTCTCTGATAGACCTGAACCTTTTATACTGCGACCTCCAACCCGCCTGCCTGCGGAGATTGTGACAAACCCTCTTATGTAGAGGAGACTCATAGTGCAGCAGTGGACAGTCACCCGCTGTTGGTAATAACTAAACTTCTTAGTTCCCAAACTAGATGGCGTTATCATACATTATGCCCGGACACGGAAACTATGTAATAAACATTCCACCGTTCAGTTCGTACGTAGGTAGGTACGTTCAATAAATTTAAAGTCTAAACGACTTGCTGAAGAATGTTTTGGAGTCTCAAAATACTTTTGAAGTTTTAAAAAGGGGTGGAGTTTCACCAAGTATTCCGCTTTTGATAGTCCCCGTCGAGCCAAAAATTTTTTGAGAGTTTCCACGTGTTCGATATAGAATTAAGTTTGTTAGGGTACTGTGTTTGTGTCTAAGGGTTTTTAGTCCGATTCTTGGGTCGGGCAAATTAAGGCTGGGTTGTACCAACCTACTTTAACAATAACAAACGTTTGTTAATAACAATAGGCTATTCTCCAACTTTTTGATTCCTTTTTTTAAACTGGCAAACACCGCGAGGTCACCGGTGACCGCAACCTATTGTTCTATAATTGTGTCTACAAATACGATACTCGACGAGTTTGTTCGTATAATATCTGATTATCAAGTATAATTTTTATTTCAGCAAAATACGACCGCATTACGCCGAAAAAAAAATAAAAAAATTGTCGTAGAATATATCTACGCGCCAAAACACGAACCGCCATTTTGGTGACATCAGTATCTAGTAGTATGGAAATATTGAAACGTCAAATGGCCAAGTCTTACATTTTGTAAACAAGTTGGTTTTTTTAAGGGGGGAATATCATCGATTGACTGCTCCCGCCTGGGTGAGACGGAAGGGAGTGTCAGACTCTTACTGACTAAAAACCACCCCGTTCCTTTTCCTGCACGTCGAGCCGGAGCCCCGGTTACCCGTTAGGTTCTCCGCGAGAAACAACTTGGTTGTGTTGTGATTTTGTTGTATTTGTATAATAAAGATGAGTTTCAATAACCCATATCGTTGGTGTGTTGCGTTAAATTGCAATAATTCTACATTAAATTTTTATTTATTAAACACAATAAGTAGTTAAAATTTGACTTGACAAGAATGCTATTGTTTGCTATAAAATATTTTGATACTTCCGACGTCACTCTCGAGAAAATCATGGCGGACGACGTTTTTGGTCACGTGACAAACAGATAATAAAACTTAAAAAAAATAATTAAAAAAAAATTAATCCTATTTTTTTATGGAATAACAACATTTTTTTTAATTCCTCACGTTTTAAACTATGCAAATAACATAACGTTACAATTTATTGTTGATAGATGAGAATACCATATTGACAAATTGTTAAATGACGTCATAACTTTAACTATAACTGTAACCGCTCACTTTTCTCTGGTTACTGTTTTTTTTTCTTCTTTGGCAACCGAGTCTCCAAAACAGTGTTGTCGAGTATACTGCCAAAGTTAGTGTTAAAGTAAGTGTCAAAAATGCATCTGTCAAATTGTCAAACGTGTTGTCAAACCTCTGAAACTATGATCAGCATGTTCCTGTTACAAGAGATATTCGCAAAAACCAGTTCTTAAGACGAAAGAAATGATCTTGCATGTATAAATAGAAAAAAAGTGTAGGTGCCGAAACCCAATAACATATCAAATTCAAATAGTAGAGAAGGTCACGCTAACTATGGACCCCTGTAATTAACTAAATATTAAATTAGACTAGTAGAATGCATTTGTGTCAGCTTGGAGTTGTCATGCTCACTCAAAGGTCTCATTGGCGGTGGCGCATGCAGTGGATCGCTCGATTCCCTACAATATGGTTGAGTTGGGCGGTGCTGGTGTACGTGTCATGTTCGTGAACGGGCGCCGCCAACTGGGACTGGTCAGCTCCAGACTGTATTATTGTCCTTAAGGTTATTTTCTTTTTTGATCACTTTGACTGGATTTTAGTGTTACATTGTTCTCGCACAATCCAAACAGCAAAACTATGTAACTAGAGAATTGTATTGTGAACCTGATTGAAAAAGAGTAACCTATGGAGTTTCTTGCTCGTTCTTCTCCATAGGAATCTACACCTTGAAACGAGCAAATAGAATAACTAGTGGACTGACTGACAGACTGACATTTTTAATATTTAATTTCTAAAACTGCCTTCTTGGTTTAATAGGGATGATGACAGGGTATGAAAATTAAAAATCTAATTAGTCCGTAAGTTAGGTAGGTAACGAAAAAATATTTGACACATATTTTTATTTTGTTGTATAATAAAAATGATACTTAGATAAAACGAATCAAAGTTTAGGAGTGGGGGCTGCAACGTCATTTCTACGTATAAAATGTACATAGAAGTGACGTCACGCGACATTTCAAATCAATATATCGTCGAAAGTATTCGTTTCTGTAAGAAAATTAAAAAAACGTGTCTAATGATTTAAAATAATCTACCAGACGGACATTAAAATAAAAATTAGGTATCTACCCTATTGTAATTATTGACTACGACTTTGAGTTCGACTTTGTTTTTTAAAATGAAAACATAATCTATGTTTGTTTGCATGCCCTTGAAGTTGTTTTTTAGTTTTATTTATATGTTAGGTTAACGAGGTTATCAGACATTATTGTTTTTATTACTAACTGTT